TTGCTTTGGTGGAGGGACTTCTGACTGTGCAATGCGGGTCTGTGAGCCTGAGATGGAGGCGGTAGCGGCAGCAGCCACAGCCCACGTCTGCCCGGCATGCATCCCTGTCTTCCTTCTGCTGGCTGCTCGGGATGCTCCTCCATTCATGACTCCATCCTAAGCTCTATCTTTCTCATGCTCATCCCTCTGCTGCAGGCATTGTCCCAGGGCAACCAATCAGAATCTTCTATCCTCTTGGGCACTGTGATTGACTCGGGGAAGCCCAATCAGGGTCCTCTTAGAGGTTAATAGGAGATCTGGGAAAGGCTACAAAGAAAACTTGGAAACATCCAGGAAGCGTGGCTGCCATTTTGCCTGGCGCAGGAATAGAGCCGAATAAAGGTAAATAGAAATAAGATGAGATGAGGTGTCTGCACATGAGAAAGAGAGAAGAGAGAGTGAAAGAGGGAAGTGGAAATAAGCAGAGCAAAGGGGAGGAACACAGAACAGAAAGGGTTATGTGTCTCACGAGGGCTGCTGGAGCCGGCTCTGCGTGAATTTAATCACTCTACAGTCTTGTCACCAGCGCCAACACATTCCCTGTGTGCCTGAATTGGATTTCTAACACTTGCAGCAAAGGGATCTTGACAAGGAGACAATTTGCAGTTGTGCCTAGCCCCAAAGCTACTCATCCTGATGATGCCAAGATGTTCTGTGGAGCCCTTCCCCTCACACCAGCTCCTACCATGGATACCAAAGGAAAACAGTGTCCCTACGCTTCCAGGACTACACAGAGCTGCGGCATCAAGCATAAGTAAAAATAGCTGTGACTATTAATAAATTGGCCAAGACTTTATTAGTGACCTTTGAGCCATTGCAGAATAGCAGAGGATCTGAGAAGCCAACAATTAGTGTCAGATGATGTCTTAATGTGAACTCAGATGACAAAAGAAGACCCAAAGTATACAGCCATTAGCCACAGGGATAGGAACTGAGTCACTTAACAGTGAGAGAGAGATTGGTGTTCCCCCCTCCATGGTGTCTAGTCTGCCACCCATTCACCTGTCTATTAGCAAGCATTTACTAACAATCTCATTTAGTCTTCCCTTGAAGCAAACATTGAGACTGGGGTACCAGTGTCTGGTAAGCTGCTTAGGCTGGCTTTCTCAACTGTACCCTGTAGTTCTGTTTCAAGTAGAATTTACTGAATGGAGCACAAGTAACAGAACACAGAAGTAACACTAGCTTGGAGAATTACAGACACAGTTATTCCATGAACTACAAATGCTAGCTCAGGTTTAGGGTAGCAGCCAGTGATACCAAGAACCATGGATTCCCCCACCCCTCCCATCGGTCCTGAATAGCCAACCTCAGTGTGTTGATTTGTCATCTTCCTGCTTATCACTCAGTCACAAAATAGATGCTGCATGTCCAGATGCCACGCACAGGCAAGACCAGTGACGGAGGGTGTTGTCGCAGAGGCTATTGGAGCTCACTCCTCTCCATCCATTCTGCTGTTTCACTGAGTTCCTGCCAAGTTCCAGCTGTCTCTCCCTAGGGTTTTCTCCTAAAACCATAGATGACTGTGCGTGTCAGATTAGGAATACTAAAACATTTGTTTCTCCCAAGAGAAATCCCAGCCAAGGACTGCAGAGGTTGGTCTAATGGATAGTTTTGACTGTCCACCTGACTGGATATGGGAATCAACTAAGAGAGATGCCTTTGGGTGGGTTTGTGGGAGCCCTTCTAGGAATGATTAACTGAGGGGGAACACTCTCCCCAGGGTGGCAGCACCTTCTCACAGCACCCCATATATAAAAGGTCCTAAGGAGAAAAAAAAACCAGTACTGCTTGCCAGCCTGTGCTTCTTGCTGGTGGGGGCATCTGCCTTGCTGCTGCTGCTGCTGCTGCTGCCACCACTGCTGCCGCCACCAGCCTTAGCTAGCATCAGACTCTAGCAGGCTGCCAACATGAACTGAAGGCCAATGACTGTCCAGAAACCTTCTAAGTGTTAGCATCTGCTGAGGTGTCTGTCCTCACAAGCTGGCCAGCTACTGGGTTCTCAGTCTCTCCACTGTGGTCAGCCATTGTAACTACACACCTACTGTCACATAAGCCACTTGAATGGATCCCTTTGTAATGGATACTCACTGGGTCAGCTGTGCTCCTCTAGTGAACCCTAACCCCTATGCCACGACTTTCTCAGGGATGACTCTAAGGTAGGTGATTTGCACCCTTTCCAGGGATGCCTCCTGTCAGCCGAGGCGCCTGTCGTCCACAACAGTAGCTAAACCTCTGTCCAGTCCTTATGTCAGGCAATACTGGGGAGTGAGGGGGCTTAAACAACGCTTTCTCCATTAGAGGGGAGCTCTACAAAAAGCCCCCGAATTACTTTCCCTTTGCCAGGCCTGGGTCACTCAGCCCCTTTCTGCCTCCAGCTGTCTTAGGGGAGTTGAAACAATGAGCACCTGGTAGGGCAGTGAGGTTTGTGGAGGCCAGGGTCCCCCAAATGAGCAGGACATGTAAGGGTTACTGAGAGGAGAACCCACAGAGCACCGGGCTCCAATCAAGATCTGGAAACTGGAGGGCGACAATGGTGTGGGGGTCACCTGGAGGCATTGCCAAAGACCAGAAGCAAGTGGGAGTGGCAGAAGGAGCCTTGAGAAGCTCTCTGTGAGATGAGTCGAGAAGACCACAATATGGGTTTCTGCAGGTTTGTGCAACAACCTAGCAAGGGCCAGGGACAGAAAACGACAAAAGTAACGACCCCATTGCAGAGAGGGAGAAAGAGTCAGACCTGAAATCCATAGAACAGGGGACAAGGCTTTAGCTGAAGGCCAAGGACTTGTGTCATGCTGAAGAGAAAACAGTAAAAGAATTGCACAGTCGTGTCCAGATATCATTTATCTCCTGAAAGAAACAAAATCTTTACACAACTCCGGTAACCCCCTAAAATTGTCTCTGTTCCGTTGGAGAAATAGGGGCTTCCTCAGTTATTTCAAACGAGCAATTTGATACAGGGAACTGGCCACCAACATACAATAGTCCCTCCCTTATCTGTGGTTTTAGTGTTGGCAGTTTCAGCTGTCCGTGGTCAACGGCAGTTCCGAAATACTAAATGGAAAGTGCCAGAATGAAATAATGTATAGTGTTTATGACTGTATGTATTTATAGTTGTTTTATCCTACTATTACTGACTAAATCTCTTACTATGCTTAAAACAATCTTTACCTCAGATGTGTGTGTATGGGTGGGGAGCCTGGTTACATAGGATCCGGTGGTGTCAGCTGTTTCAGGCAGGCACAGAATAGCCTCTAACAAAGAGTGTCTGCCACTAAGCAGGGACAGCGGCCTCTAAGAGCTGATAGGGTTCACAGGGAAAGGGGACAACGCTTTAAGATGAATACCTGCAGGGAGGGAGTTGGAGAGATGACTCGGTGGTTAAGATCTGGCACAGCTCTTTCAGAGAACTCTTGTTCAGGTCCCAGCATCAATGCCAGGGAGCTCACAACTGCCTGTAACTCCAATTCCAGGGGATCCAACACTTTCTTCTGGTCTCCTCGGGTAACTGCACATATGTGGTGCATATAAACTCATGCAGCGCACACACCTACACATAAATAAATGCTTAAAAAAATAAAGGAGGTAATAACTTCAGAGAACCATAAACACTTTTGCCACTGGAGAAGCCACAGGGAAAAGAGGAAACCCCATGGGTTGCTGGGCCATGGAGCTGCTGGGACAGACCCCTGCATGCTGTCCTTCTCGCTCCTCTACAGAAACTGAAAAGGCAAGGTCCTTACCCCCTTTCTGCCACCTTCTAGTTCCTCTCCAGTGCCTCCCCTGGACTGACTCTGAGAAGACAGCTTGCCTCTGTGTCTGTGAAGTGCCACCTGCAGGACTTCAGCCACCCTGGCAGCCAGCAGAGCACGGAGGGCAGGAGTGGAGCTAAGGACCACTGAGTTCACAGGGCAGCTGGCAGGTGGAGAGGAACTGTGTGGATGGGATACTGGAGCCAGATGAAGATGAGACAGAGACGGAAAGGCGAGAGCTTCTCTTCTGGGCTCCAGCAGCAGAACCAGGTTCTGATGTCTCACTGGACATTGTTCTTCAGTACCTCGGGTTCCAGCTGTGTGCTGTCCACGCCCAGCTTCCATGCCTGAGTCGCTGTGAGCTCTGTGCATTTCACAGGGTGGTTCCCATCACGTACGCTTGCTTTCCCTAATAACCATCTCCCCCTGGAGCCTCGCTGCCGCCAACCTCGGGTGCAGCTCTCCTGGTGGCATCCCCAGGTGCTCAGGTTCCTCTCCGCAGCGTTTCTCACAGCCCCATTCTCCTCTTGAAATGTGCTCAGCATCTTAATGGAAAGATTCCTTCCAGAAAATGGACTAGCACCAAAAATAAATTATCCAGAAAAACAAGACCGCTTTCTCTACCATGAAAGAAACTAAAGAGCTCATTAGCCTAAGGAATAAATCATGTTTTCTAGTGTTGTGAGGCCAGAAGACAGCCATGAATATTCATAAGCATACTTCTGAAGTGAGGGCTGGAGAGCATTCTTTTAGGCACCACCCATTTGAGGGAAAGATATCCTAACTGGTTAGGCTGGCTGAGCCCAAATCCTCAACAAGGAGACTGATAGCCTTGTTAATTGGTTAATTAGAGAAAGCTAATTTCTGGTAAAGGCAATGGGGAAAATAGGCCAAACTAGGACCAAACCCTGGGCCTCAGGATGCCTATGAGTGGCTTTATAAACTGGGCAAACCCAGCCATACCTAACAGCAAGAGTTTCATGGGGACCAAGCCAACAAGGAGAGGTAGCTGCTGTTTCTTGGACCTTGAATGATGCCCAGAGACTCATTGTCAAAGACTTAGTTCCTGTGCTGGGAGGGGTTACAGCTATTGGTGGGTAGGCCTAGGAAGAAGTTCTTATGTCATTTGGGGTGTGTCTATGGGGGAGGGGACTGGAATCCCTTGGCCACTTCCTCTTCTTCCCCTTGGGCTTCCTGGCCATAAGAAAACGTATGTATCTACCATGTACTCTCCAGCATTGTCATCTGGCACACCATTCTGAGGCCTAAAGCAATGGGACACGCTCCCCTCCCACCTGAAGCCTTTGAGTTCACACAACATCTTCACTTCAGGTAATTTTTTTATAGCTAATTTGGAGAGCTAGCGGGTACAGACCAGTCACCTCTCTGGTGTCACACACCTAGCCTTGCCTTTTTACCTTCCCTGGATTTTATGGTTGAGTTTGGTTTTTATTTGCAGTTGGGTTAAGCCAAGGCTCTCAGCTTTGACTGCACCTCCAAACAATCCCCAGGAGCTTTCTGGTTTAAAGATGTCCAAACCAGACCAGATCACGGACCACAGAGGTCTCTGGGGTCACACTTGGTGTCAGTGGTTTCAGCACACAGCCAGGGCAGCTGTAGCAGCTGGTGTATGAGGTGCTGCTGTGGTTCCTTCCCTTCCGTGAAGACACGCCTCCCCATCACACCTGATACTCCTGTCTAACAATGTCCTCTTTTTTCCCTCTTGAAGCATTACCTTTGGAGCCATTCCTGCTCAGAGTCCAGCTTTTTTGCCACAAAGAGAAAGCATGCTAAGAGATCGGTCAGTGACCTAGCTGATCTCCCAGAATCCCTGCCAGCCACATAGAAGCTTCCAGAAGGGCCAGTCCAGTCCAGGAGAACATTCAGGTGACCACCCCCCCCCAATCCCACTCAACACCCAGGAACAAGCATAGGAATCAGTACCCTGCTGTATTCAGGCCACTCCTGGACCCATGAGGGGCAGTAATGGATGGAGACCTTAACCAACGGGCTGTGCAGTAATTGTGTGTTGAGCAGAGAATGGCTGGAATGGGCAAGAACCACTGGATCAAAGGGGCATCCACAGGTAAGCACTGCAGCAAGGGACACACGGTCTCCAGCAGAGAAGAACCCTCTGCTGCTGTGTGGATCTGCATGTCTCCCACAAAGGCCCAGACGCTAAAGGCTTGGTACCCAGCCTGGGCACTAGAGGTAGACCTTTTAAGTGGAAGGGCTTAGTAACAAGTTAGGCCACTGGAGTGTGCCCTTACAGGGACAAGGGGACCTCCCTCACTTTCACTTCCAGGCTGCCCACAGGCCTCTTTGGTCATGTTCCTACTATGATATGTTTGTGGTGCTACATGCTCAGGGCAATAGGATCAAGAGACCATGAACTGAAGCCCCTGAAAATGTCATCCAAAAAAAACCCTCTTTATGACTTGATTTTCTAATGTGTTTGTGTCACAACAACAGAAAGATTACTAACACGCCCTCCACCTCGGTGGGGCCAACTCCACCCTTATACTGTGTCTTGCCTGCTCCCATGCTCCGGCCACACCTTATAAAAAGAACCACAGGCTTTGGGGACAGGACAGCTGTCAAGGTTGGAGCTACCCATCCATGCTGTGGTCCCTTATAGGCTAAAAAGGGTTTTGCTGTGTTTTCAATTTCACTGATTTTTTTCTCTTTTAAACAACAGCCTTACCTGTTTTAATTCATAGAGTTAGTTAATGGTCCCATATGGTCACTGTTACCATGGGAAGGCAACTGTGGCCAACAGTCTATTTTTTAGAACAGGCATCTGGAATCTCGGGGAGACTATTTGATTCTACTTCATTGCTGTAGTGAGTAATATAGGAGATGGGAGGTAAGCCCAAGGGCCATTGGTCTGCTGCATGTAATATTACACTGCTGTCTGTTTTGGGGGGAAAGGAGGAGCCCTAGTCTCCCTTCAATATTCGTGTTACCTTTATGGCTTAGGAACTCTATTAATTGGCTTTCTGGTGCTGTAACAAACTACCTGAAACTGGGTACTTCATATGGAAGGCAGGTTTATTATCTAGGTCCTGCAGGCTTAGGAACAAGGCTCTGACATCTATCAGTGTGGCTCTGGAGAGAACCTCCAGGCATCCAGGCATCACAATAAAGGTGCATGAGAGATCTCGTGTCAAGACAGGAAGCAGCTAAATATGCTCCCAACAGCTTAATCTCTGAGAACTAATCCACTCCCAGAGGCTAATACTAGTCCATCCTCAGCACTAGCCTCCACCCCTCAAAGCTCCACCCCTTCCAGTAGGTTCCAATTCTCAGGTCCGACCACCCTGCCATTGCCACCCCGGAGCTTCCAGATACCCTCAAGACATGTCTGAGCCACAGGAGTAACAGAAGCCCAATTTGCTCAGGGAGGCACTGCATCTAGCTAAAGCCATGTTCCCCAGTCATTCTGGGAGCTAGGTGTGGGCATGTGTCTAGTAAAAAGAGTACCTCGGTGTTGTGAGGGCATCTACAAAGCCTGAATCAGAAATCTAAAGATGGAGCATGACAGGGGAGTTAAGGACAGAGAGGGCCACAGAGCTGAAAATGCCTGCAGACACCAACACTCACTCTTCCTAGCTCGGCGGCTGGGGCCCTGTGTGCAGCTGGCATGGGGCTTACCTTGCTGGTGCCAGAAACACAACCAAGAGTGGGAAAGACACCGGGCCCAGACAGGGCGTTCCCGGTGGGCCCAGCCCAAGGGCCGCAGGGCCTGCTGCTCCTCTCCAGCTGCCAAAGATTCTAAGAAGCTATGGCTAAGGAGGGGTGGCAGAGGACTGAGCGGGGGGGGGGGGGGGGGCTTGGCATCCTGCAGGGGGACCTTTCTAGGCCAGACTTAAGGATCCATCTGCTAGGAACACGGATGCTGTGCCCACAACTGGAGCAATCCGGTGCACCAGACTTTGTCCAAAGGAGGCTGACACCAAGCCTCAGACACAGTTGCCTGCTTCCCTAAGCCCCTGGCTTCCAGAATCACCCTGGGACCCAGGGTGGAGGTAGGCAGTTCCAGGTGGGTGTGTGGTTTTCCAAGGCCCCATCCCCCACCCCCAGCATCGGAGGTCTACAAAACTTTCCTGTAGAGCCAGGTGGTAAACGCTTCAGGCTTTGCACATGTGCTAGCCTCTGCCCTGATACGCAAGAGCAGTAAAACGTGGGCCATAGATCAGAGAAGTCATGCTTCCATAAAACCTTTTTAATCAAATCTCATAAATTCTAAATGTGTAAATTTTAAATGTCATAGAAGATTTATTTACATGCTATGGAATTTTTTTTCATTTTTTTTTCCTTCTAAAACTCTCTTCTTAGCTCAAATAAAATGGTGGACAGGACCACATAGTTCACCAACCCTGACTCAGATCTGTTACTAGGAAGAGTTCAAGTCAACTTTTAAAACAGTGTGACATTACAGTGGTCCCCAAGCCAAGTGTCTAGTGTACCCAACATTACCCATTTTTGGAGTGATATTGAGTCCCCGTACACAACACTGAATATGCTACAGCCTAGTCACATGGGTCAGTGGTAGGCTGAGGATTTGAAGATTTGAAAAAAATCTGATCCATACCCTTAGAAGATTTGAGAAGTGGTTTCATTTAAATCGTTCTTTTGATCCCCAGGGAGGCTTTGAATCTGCCCACCATGAACTATAATCCTCCTCAAATCTATAGTGGTAACTACAGCAAACAAAACATTCTTGAGTGTGGTGGGAGAGCTAAAAAAGAATGCAGTAGCTCTTTAGTGAAGGTTCTTTGAATAGAATTACAATGCATTTTCTCTCACTGTGTTTGTCTGTTGTCCTTAAGGAACATCCATGAATTTTATTGCTAAGGATTGTATAATTAAGAGACTTCTAGAGATAACCAACACTAAGGATCTATGAAAAAGCAACATGGAAATCTACTCATAAACTTATTTAATTTATAATTTTAGAAAAGAGTTTGATTTGAGGTATCCTACATGGAGGGAATAATGCTTTTCCAGAAGCCGTAGGTTATTAAATAACCTACGAGGTGTAGGATACTTCCCTGCAAGTCGTTGTTCATAGAATTACCAGATAGGTCCCCAAATTATTACTAGCAGTTGTCATTGCTCTTGTCTGCCCACCAGAACTTGATGATGAAAGCCTATGGCTGAAGACGCCACACACTCTGCTCTCATGGCTTGAGGACATCAAGCTGAAAGCGACCTGGAAGCTTTCTCTCTGCTAACTGGTTTTCATAGCACTAGAAGGTGCTATACAGGCTACTGCGAGACATACTCATCAACAGTCTCTCACAGCTGTGAATTCTGCAAACTACAGTAATAATCAACCTGGCAAGATGTACCTATTGGTGCAGTAGTGGTGTGGATGCTACGGGGCAGCCTACTGTTTGCTTTTTGGACCTGAGGCCCACTCTAGGAGGCAACTTAATCGAGGTATCCATGTGGCCAAGCACCTGTACCTAAGAGGTTGTAGGCCCCAGAAAAAAGCATACTACTATTATTTTGCTAAATAAATATGGTATCAAACTGTCTTCTAAAACAGGACTTTTAGATTAAATTATTCTGTTTTAAGTGTATAAGTGTTTTGCCTGAATATGTATGTATGTATCTTGTGTATGCTGTTTCCCTGAGAGGTCAGAAGGAGGCATCAGATGGTTGTGAGACGGCAGGTTAGTGCTGGGAACCAAAGCCAGGTCCTCCACAAGAGCAAAAGTGCTCTAACCATTGAGATGTCTCTGAGTCTCCAAATCCTTTCTAGATACTTACCTTCACACCCATACTGTAGTGTGGCTTTCAACCCTCATCACACACGTCTTTTCACAGTAGACAGAGGGTAATATACAGACTCACCACCGGTCAAAGGACAGAGACTAAATGACTGTGGAATGATCCACCCTAATTTGAACATCTGTCTCATACACATGTGCACATGAACTTGCGTGCGTGCACATGCACACACACACACACACACACAAACACACACACACTATGAAAATAGGAACAAGACTGATTGGGAATTACTGTTCCAGTGGGAGAAGGAAGAGGGATAAAAGAGAATAGGGGAGAGTGAAACACCTAAAATTTATTGCATAGGTGTATTATGCTGTCAAAGAATTTTTTACAATTTAAAGAGGCCTGTAAAAGAATTCTCTGGACAGTAAGTTCACTATTGAATGACTTTCCCAGTGTCTTCCAAGTCTTTGGTCAGGAAGTACTTTTTTCATATTTAATCCATGTCTAGAGAATTATGGAAGAAAAAGACAAAATGAGAAACATATGTTGTCCTTTTGACTGCAGAAGCCCAGTTCTTGTCATTGCTGGTTATTTTTAACACTAGAGTCATGCTGGTGGGATACAGTCAGACTAGAGATGCTGAGAATGGTCACAAGCCCATCAGCACAGGACCAAGGGAAACAGATCACTTCTGCTGCTGACCTCTTAATTCCAGGACATCCCAGCAACCATCTGGTAAATGTCAGAGTCGTCCAGAAGCGAAAAGACAACACTCCAGGCTTCTAGGGAAAAGTCACGGGCCTCAGTAGACCCGGGTTTGAGCCCCGACTTGGCTATTTCACACTATGAAGCTGAAGAAGAGTGAGTGATAGAGTTTGCTGAGTCTCAGTTTTCTCCTCTAGCAACCTTGAGCCGGGAGTCCCAGGAGGCAAGGACGGTCATTCATTTAAAGCTCCTGACACAGGCAGATAGTGCATTCACAGCTCTTGTTCTGATCCTGCGACCCAGTCAAGGTCACTGCATTAATTACTTTTTGTTGCTGTGATAAAACATCATCCCAAAAGCCACTTACGGAAGAAAGAGTTTTGGCTTAGGGTTCCAGAGGAAGAGTCCATGATGGCTGGGGAGGCATGGCAGCGAGCAGCTGGAGCAGGAAGCAGAGAGATCACATCTTCAGCAGCAAACACAAAGCAGAAGGAGTAGGGTGGAGACAGAGAACTGGAAGTGGGGTGAGATTATGGGCTCTCAAAATCTGCACCCAACAAGGAGCCTCCTCCGACAAGGCTCCACCTCCTGAAGGTTCCATAAACCCCAAACTACACCATTAACAGGTGTAGTAGAGCCTGGGAGGGACATTTCTCATTCAAACCATCATAGTCATGATCCTGTGCAAAGGGCTAGGAACAAACCTGCCCCACTTGTACTTAACCCAAGAAAATACTTAAGCTGGAGAACAAACTACTGAGCACTTTGTTTCTGGCTACAACCCTTGCATGAGGCATGCATGACAGCATGTATCTCAACCCCAAATCCAGGCACAGCCCAGGTTCAGAATCTCCTTTGTTAGAGAGCTGTGCAGTTCATTCAGTAGCTTTACGTGAGGGCATATAGCTGGTCATGTAAATTAATTCAATTTAAGTGAACTTAAAGGTAAATTCCTCATTCTTCCTAACCACATATTAAGTGCTCAGTAGGCACATGTGACTGCAAGATGAGCCAGGACATTGCCACCATTACCAGAGGTCACTGGACAGCATTATTATGGTGGTTTCTGGGACCACACAGGCTACACCTAGACAGAGAGACCTGTGGTCACTTGCAAAAGTGTTCTCATAGTACTGCAGTGACATGTTCCCTGAGTGAAACCAAAATTCCATAACTGGCTATAAATGTTGGGGGGGGGCTCGTGGGAATGGCTCAGGGTGGAAAGAGAAAGGGCAACTATGTGAAGTCCTCTAGGACCCAACACCAGTACAGCTCTGTGAAGTTCAAGCTAGACTCAAGAATCCCCAGGTCCCTTTGGGTTCAGCGGTGTAGAGAGATGCAGGTGGCTCACCTGGGTGGAGGGTGACCTCACCTGGAATGGATAACATTGAGTGGGGTAAAATAAACCATCTCTGATCTCATCTCCATTCTCCTTGCCCTTCATGCGCCAGGAGCTACCCTGGCTCATGCCTCCAACTGGGGTTCTAAAGTCTCTGCCACCTTAGGAAATGTAGGTGATGTAGGTGTTGCCGGCAGGACTCACCACGGTCCTCAGTTGCCTACTCAGAGCTGTGGTTTGCCACACAGGAGCTAGGTAAACTTCAGCAAGTTAATTCCTTCCTATGACTTCTCTGTCATTGAAACAGTGTGATGAAAACTGTGCTTGCCACACTAGGCAATTCCAAATATTAAGTAGGATTCAATACATGCAACTAGATAGACCCTGAGTACAGAGCCCAGTAGTAAGTAACAACACTCAGTAAAAACTGTTAATAACATCAGTGTGCCATTTGCTTGGTTGCTATTTATTAGTTATTATTAATACAGTAACATTATTCATTAGATTCTGCCTCCTGTAACATGAAAAATAAAAGACCTAGAGACTGACACTGGGGTTCAAGCTTCAGGCTGAGGAGCAGAAAAGCAAAGCGCCTGGTCACTAGCTCTCACTCTACCTCAGACTGAAATGCGTGCCTGGCTCCACCAAACCTCAGACTGCTGCCTCTCCTCAGCATGGCTGGAGAATTCTGAGACTTCAGTGTCTTCCTGTCCTCAATGCGGCTGGAGAATGAATGCCTGATACTGACTGCTGAAGACCCTGCTCCTATCTTTTATTCCCCTCTCGTGCTGGGATTAAAGGCATGTGATCCCAGGTGCTAAGATCATCTTTGTGTAAGCTATCTGTCTTTAGGACTGGATCTTGTGTGGATCTGGGTGGCCTTATACTCACAGAGATCTGTCTATCTCTTAATCCTAAATCCTAGGATTAAAGGTGTGTACCACTACCTCCTAGTTTCTGGCTGCTGGGATTAAAAGTGTGTGCCTGGCTTCTGTGGCTTGCTTTCTGGATCCTCAGGCAAGCTTTAATAGATAATAAATAATATATCACCACAGCCTCCATCTCTGAAGGCATAGCTCCCAGAGTGCATCAGAAAATGATCACTTTTTGGAAGAATAAACCCTCCATCCCTGTGCTTCCCACTAGGCTGGTCACTCACAAATATGCCTCAGTACCCCAATGTGTCCAGAAGCATGGTGTCTCTTTACAGCTACAAAAGCCTAAGAAAAACACACATTTTTGGAAAGAATACCATTAAAATGTTATGCATCCTTATCATGTCAAAGGGTTCATGATGTTAACGTGTTTTACTACTGGTGATGCTAATGGAGAGAGAAAAGAGGGAGAAAGAAGAGAGGAGAGAGAGATTTTAAGGAATTGGTCCACACAATTATGAAAGCTGGCAAGCCCACAGTCTACATGGTAGGTCAGGAGGCTAGAGGCCAGTGACAAGGTGATGTTGCATGTCTAAAAGCAGAGTGCAGGCCAACTCCCTTTTCCTCTTGAGATTATCACCATCTGCTTGGATGGGGCCTTTTGGCTTTAGAGAGGGTAATCTGCTTCATTCAAGGTCCACTAGTTCAGTGCTAACGTCTAAAATTTTGTCACAGAAGGGCGGGGGGGAGGGTGTAGCTCAGTTGGTGGGGTGTTTGCCTAGCATGCACAAAACCCAAGACTGATCCCCAGTGCTGTGTTTTTAATGCAGATGGCACACCCATGTATCCTCATGCTCAGGATGTAGTGGGAAGATTAAGCTCAAGGGCCAGCCTCTTCTATGGAGTGAGTTAAGGACTAGCCTGGTCTATAAATAAACCTTATCTTTAAAAATAAATCCCAGTGTGGCATGGTGGCAAATGCCTTTAATTCTAGTGCTTTGGAGGGATAGGCAGTAGTTGCTCTGTGAGTTTAATGCCAGCCTGGTCCACATTTTGAGATCTAGGACAACCAGGGATACATAGTGAGACCCTGTCAAAAACAAACGAACAAACAAAAAATTTCACAGCAGCATCCAGACTACAGTTGCTCTACATATCTGGACATCATGGCCTCACCAAGGCAATATATGAAGTTAGCCATTTACCCTAGGCTATTATAGTGTATGAGCCCCACTCACGTCTAGAAATTGTAATCCAAATTCTCTATTGTAGCTGGTGAGGGGATGCAAGTGAGGGGAGTTCACCACTCACACTTGGGGAGCATGGGCTAACTGATGGTTCATCCCCCTGGGAGTATGTGTATTGGGACTGCCAGACAGATCAATTCTTTTCCAAGAAATATTGAAATTTGAATCTTTAGATGACATGGAAAGGTGTCCTCAGACAGGCCAATTGCACCCGGACCCAGATGATCTCACTGAATATGTCAGTGTCCTTGGTTCATTATCCATACATCTTCTTGGGCTAAAGACTGACTGGCTGTGAACTTCTGTGTACCTGGGGCAATGTTGTTCACCCAGAGACCGGGAAAATGCAGACACTGAGCCCCGCTTATCACAGATGTCTTAATCCATGTGTGCTAAGCCCCTTCCATGTGACGTTTATCATTTGTGCAGAGCCTGCACACCCTCCTGCATACTTTCCATAACCTCTGGGTCACTCTTATCACCTGATACAAGTAAATGAGTTCAATATATATAGCTGTTAGGCTAGGTTGTTGCAAATGCTGCCAACCAACCACCCAATACAAAAATCATGAACTTAATTGAGTTATATAGTTATGAGAGGGTTTTTATGATTTTTTTAACTCAACTGTAGCATTCTTGAGAGTGATGTTGTAGACGGCAGCCTTGTGTTATAATGTCAGAAGTTTGGGCACACCTAGACGATCAGCCACGGTTCTAATCTCCAGTCACACTTTGAATGTAGGATAGGTATGTTTTTTTCTATTTTCTGTCTGATGTTGGTTAAATCCACAAGTGGAGAATCCTCAGAAGTGCCAGGCTGACTGTACTATGCTACAATAAGATGCAGACAGGTGTGCACATATACATATAGTTGTAAAACCCTAGAAAAGATCAAAGTCACCACCACAGATGTGGGTTTGGGGGGAGTGGACACATATGACATGGACTGTCAGGAGCTGCACTTGGAATATGCTAGAAAGAAAAGATCCTGGAGTGTCACCAGCCACTTTTGCTGACAACCGAACTATGGCCTAAGTGTAGTCTGACCACAGAACTCACTCAAAACACATTCTTATCCTAAGTCCCAGAACCTGTGAGTGTGACCTTATTTGGAAAAACGAATTAAGTTAAAGATGTCAGGAGATCGCCTTGGTATGGGCAGAAACAGTCAAGGAAAACGGCCATTTTCCTATTCATAGACTGACTACTGGGTCACAAGTCCAGAGCTGCCCTGCAGCCACCAGAAGGAGGAAGGAACCAGAAGAGTTTTCCTGGAGCCTCTGGGGGATGGAGCCAACCTCTTGCTTTTGGGCTTTTGGTCCCAGAAGTATGAGATTAAATTGTCATTGTTGAAAGTCACCTAATCTGTGGTCACTTTTAACAGCAGTTCCAGGAATCTGTTACACACTCAATTCATGGCTCAAAGTGAGGAGACAGGACGTGCTTTAAAGGTAGCAGGGGCTGTAGGAGCACCACTGGTCTCCCCAATGCTACTGCCATACTCACCTCTGCATTCCCAGAATAAGGAACTACCTCAAAACTCCTCCAAGTCATTAATTTAACTTCCATACAACTTTCAGGAAAGTGTTTGGGAACAAGATTGTTATTTCCAAACAGCTCCTATCCCACCCCATTCTCTAAGAAGCTGAGGCTAGGATTCTCCAACCCTCACACTATGTGGACTCCATGGCCCTCTCCAAGATAAACATGCCTTCCTCCCTCCAAGATAAAGAATGGCAAATCTCAGGGGGTGAAGACTTGCCGTGTTGGCCCAACTAACCAACCTAAATGGAAGTTGAGGGATGGCAGCCAGAGCCATTGTGATGTTTAGTTTGTCACCATAATGTGAAATCACTTGACAAGAGAGTGATGTCAAGATAAGGCCAGCCTGTGAGGGACTGTCTTGATTATGTGAAGACCCAGTTGTAAAACAGGCAGCACCAGTCCCTGGTTTTGGGTTCTAGACTGTATAAAAGAGGAGTAAGCTTATAGTCATTCATTTCTCTCTACTCTTGACTGTGAACACAATGTGTTTAAGTTCCTGCTGGTTTGGCTTCCCCACTATGGATCCTGAAACTGTGAGCTACAACAAATTTCCTCCCCTTAAACTGCTTTTGTCAGAGTACCTACCACAGTAGCAGAAAGGTAACTAGGATGGTCACCCACCCCAGCTCCCTGTAGGGGACAGGACTTGCTAAACTGGTTGGTGGCTTTCCTCCAAAGCCCTGCGGCCAGTTTGGGTCCAACAAAGGCCCTTAAAGTCCCTTCTCTGAGACTGAAAAACAGCAAACAAGAACCGTTCCCTAGACGTGATCAGCAGCCCAGGCTCCCTGGGCCTAGCGGTATGTCCTGTGCAGCACAGACCTGGGTCTCTCCAGCAGAACCCTTGGAAATGTTCTGCCTTGCTCATAGCCTCTTCTTAATCCAAAGGAGAGCGAAAACCAAAGTGACTCCAGCCACATCTCTAGAGCCCCTTCTGTTCCAAGAGGGCCCATCTGAACAGATCGTGTGGTGATATATTGTTTATGATCTAATAAATGTCGCCTGAAGATCATAATGCAAAGCTAGCCACAGCCATAGAGGCCAGGCAGTGGTGGCACACACTTTTAATCCCAGCAGCCACACTAGTTAGTCACAGAAGCTAGGTGATGGGAGTGCATGCCATTAATCACAGCACTAGAGTGGTATATAAGACCCGAGCTCAGGATCTCATCTGGGCATTCCTCTGTCTCCAGCCACGCTCCAGCCTTGGTAGAGGTAAGAACTCTCTAGTGGCTGGCCACTTGGCTTCTCTGATCTTCAATATCCGTCTCTGGGTTTTTGTTATTCTCACTATAAGACTGTGCCCACGGTGGCTCCTTTCCAAGATGGAATGCCCAGCAAGTCCACGATGTACATTCCTTCTCGCCCACACAGCTTACCTCAAGCTTCCAGAATTTCCCGACCAGAGGAAAAAGATGACTCAAGCCCATCTCAGGAAATGTGTTCTCTGCCACGGAAACGCAAGTCTGAGGGGACAAGGCACACAGCCACATTGTTCCCTCCTCAAGAGGCTGGAGAACTTCAGGTGCCAAATTCATCGTCTTCACCCTGCTCTGAGGGGTGGGGAAAGATTTGAAAAGAATCTCTCACCTCCAAAGCTTCTAGCTCTGATACTTATTTCAGTTTCAAGCGTCCTCTGAATTTTTCCTTTGGGTGACACATGCTTTCATTCCAAGCACCTATCAACACCTGCTCTACTGACCAGTGGGTGCCTCGGCTTATGCCATGAGGGCCCATTACCCGCCCGCCAGCCAGAAGGCTGACAGCTCGCTAAGCATGGCCTGAAAGCTGCAGCCTGTGATGCGGGGTGACCTCCTGGGTCACAGTCAAACCAGGATGAGACCAAAACAGTGCTCCTTTCCCTCCTCCCTCCCTTCCCCACCCCGTGACAACCTCTTGGCTAACTTCTCCAGGACAGGTCAGGAAGGGGTCCTGCAGGCTCTCCTTCTTCCTGGAGGGTTCCATTATCTGTCCCTCATGTTGCTCCATTTCCAAACCACCATCCCGGCAGTTTACCTAGTTCTGCAACAACTTGCGTTTGGAGCACACTGGGCATAAAGTTAAGGACGACGGCCCGAAGCCCATGGCAGCACTCCTCACAACCTGGTCCTTGCTGTTCTCCTCAGCTCCCAACTGACTCTCTCAAGCAATAAGCTTAGAGGTGCCATGTGCTGGGCCTGATGGCTCCGTCCCTGAGCTCCAGTCATGCCTATGACAAGGGTCCGAGAGATAACCGACATGCCATCTGTCTAAATATTTAAACATCACAAATCAAGCAGTGAGCGATTCAATAAATGATATTCCAGGCCCCTCCTCTGACCTGAGTGCTTTCAAGAGACCCTGGGTGCAGTTTTGACTTCTGTGTTCTAAAGCTTCCATGAACTCTGCCCCAGAACAAGACTGCAAAAAGACAGCTGGCCCAAGCCTCAGCCCAGCCCCTTCCTTGACACTTAGCAAGCAATACCCCTGCCACTGTACAGGCTGTGTCCCAGCTGCAAACAACCCGGCCTCAAGTCTGAGCTCCACTTGTACTTCACACACTTGGCTGTTCTGTGCCTACTTGCTCTAGTCTCAAGTCACGTCTCCAGGACACTCCAAAGCTAAGGGCTAGAGCAGCATTGGTGTGGCCTAGGACATTTTCTCAGTGTGTTATTCTGCACAGGCTCCTATTGCAAAAAAACATGGATCTGGTGCATGAGCAGGAGTCTGGAGCTCCTGGATGCATTAGCGGGTGGCGGTGTCTTGCAGCTCTTGCGTGCAGCCCCGTTTACAGGCTAGGACGCTGAGCTGAGGCCCAAAGAGACTTCAGTGGGCAATGTGCACCACATGCTGGCTCCTGCCACTGCCTCACCCACCCTAAGAACAGAGTTGGGTGCTCCCAGCAGGAAATAGAGAAATCTCTCTGTGGTCTTTCCAGCCCTGTGGGCCTGCTCTGAAGAAGCCCTATGGGGAGCCCTCTGGGACAACCTGCTGCTCCTGTGACCCTTCCCAGCTCTCCTTCCCAGCCAAGGAATAAAGAAGCTTCATTTTGTGGTTCTACGATCAGGAAATATTTCACTCCAGAAAAGGGCTAGACAGGGGCGGGAGGCAAAGAAGGAATCCTAGAACTCAGGAGGCAGAGGCAGGCAGGTCTCTGAGTTGGATGCCAGCCTGGTCTAAAATAAATAAATAAATAAATAAATAAATAAATAAATAAATAAATGAGTGACATTCTTTGAGAGGCAGAGATAGCAAGACAAAACAAAAGAAAATAGCCAAGAGACACTCTCTCTCTCTCTCTCTCTCTCTCTCTCTCTCTCTCTCCTCCCTCCTCTCTTCCTCCCTCCCTCCCTCCCTCTCTTCCCCTCTCCCTCCCTCTCTCTCTGTTCCTTTGTCCCTCCCTCCCTCTCTTTCTCCCTCCCTCTCTTTCTCCCTCCCCCCACTCTCAATTTCTCAGATAACACCTTAGTTTCCCAACGGTGACACACAATGGTGTCACGAGTGAACTCCATCTTGATTGTTAGTCTGGTCTGATGGAGCCTAGTATAGGAATTTGGTTCAAACCACTGGGTTTCTGGTGTTTCGTTTTATTTTAGCGCGTTTGGTGCACTATGTATCCTCCCTCTATTTGTATCCACATCACAATCAAGCACCCTGAAGCCAGTCCTACATGCAGAGTTGTATCTGAATGAAGCACAGAGCTTTCCTATGGCCTTCAAGATGTCTTTGTCACAGGCTCTGGAAGAGGAGCCAAGTGTGGTGGTGCACACCTGCAGTCTCCACACTCAGGAGGAGGAGGCAGGAGGAGCAGGAGTTCAAGGTCATCCCCAGCTGTATAGTAAGTCTGAGGCAAGCTTGAGCTGTGTGAGACACTCTCTCAAAATGCAAACAACAAAAATCTCTCAAAAAGGCAGACCAAGAGAGAGGTGGGTGTGGTGGTGCATGCTTTTAATCCCAGCATTCAGGAAGCAGAGGCAGGTAGAATTCTGTGAATTTGAGGCTAGCCTGGTCTACCTAAGTTCCAAGCCAGTTAGGGCTACAAATAAAAAGGTAGAATCGGAAGAGGAAGGAGTGGAGAGGCCATGGCAGTTAGGATGGTAAGCCCAGTACTGGGAGAATCACAGTTCAAAGCCAACCTGGGTTACACAGGGAAACCAAGAACAGCACAGCTCCCAAATAAATACACACAGAGAGACTTATTACTTATGACTGCCCAGCCTTAGCTTGTCTTGTTTCTAGTCAGCTTTTCTTAAACTATCTTGTCTACCCTTTGCCTGTGGGCTTTTGTCATTCTTTGTTTCTGTATACCTTTCTTTACTTCTTACTCCATGGCTGGCTGTGTAGCTTAGTAGCTAGCCCTTTTGTCCTCCTCTCCTCCTCCTTTCTCTCCCCTATCTTTTCTTTCCAGAGTTCGCCTCTTTATTCTTTTGCCTGCCAGCCCCACCTATACTTTCTCCTGCCATTCAGCTCTTTATTAGACCAATCAGATGTTTTAGACAGGCAAAGTAACACAGCTTCACAGAGTTAAACAAATGCAACATGAAAGAATGCAATACATCTTTGCATCATTAAACAAATGTTCCACAGCATAAACAAATGTAACACATCTTAAAATAATATTCTACAACACACTCCAAACCTAGCAAAAATGTCACAGAGGCTGGAGCGAGAGTTCAGCATTTAGGAGCCTATGATGCTTTTACAGAGGACCTGAATTAGGATCCCAGCACCCATATGGAGCAAGGCACTGCTGCCTAGAACTCCAACCCTGGGGGATTTGATGGCTCTGGGCTCTGTAGGGACCTGCACCCAAGTCACATGCCCACACACAAGATGCACAATACACATAACTGAAAATGAAAATAAAAATCTTTTAACACCGTAATATTTTAACTTCTTTTTACACAACCCACAACATAGGCTAAGGACCCAGCAGCCTTTCTTCTCTGGTCCTCAAATCCTCTGGCCTAAGCTCCTTTTATGCCCTACAACCCTCCCAACTCTATACATCCCCTTCGAGAAGGTTGCTCCACAGGATGACTCTGAGGTGGTGCTTCTTTTTTTTTTTAAGATTTATTTATTTGCCGGGCGTTGGTGGCGCACGCCTTTAATCCCAGCACTCGGGAGGCAGAGGCAGGCGGATCTCTGTGAGTTCGAGACCAGCCTGGGCTACCAAGCGAGTTCCAAGACAGCCTCCAAAAGCCACAGAGAAACCCTGTCTCGAAAAAAAAAAAAGATTTATTTATTTATTACATACACAGTGTTCTGCCTACATGCCAGAATAGGGCACCAGATTAAATTGTAGATGGTTGTGAGCCACCATGTGGTTGCTGGGAATTGAGCTCAGGACCCCTGGAAGAGCAGTCAGTGCTCTTAACCTCTGAGCCATCTTTCCAGCCTGAGGTAGTGCTTCTGAAGTCAGCCTCACTGCCAGCCTCCAGCTTCCTTTGGTCCCCTCTCTACACCCAGCATCCCAACAGCATGCTGGGTGAGGCTCAGAGCAACCACAGCACATTGACAGGAGTGTTGGGGGTACTGGGTGGGAAGCAGACGATTGTCTTGGGAAACGGAGTGTAAAGGCCTCCAAAGCTTGGGGACTGGGGCAAGCATGATGAGATTCTAAGCAGCAGCTGAAGGTAAATAAATGAATCTCATCCATTCATGAAGTAGGTGACCTTGGGTGGCCACCAACTCTGGGATCTGGCAGTATACACAGAAACTAGGTAGAAAAGGTCATCTCTAGAGGATGTGAGCAGGTTTGGGGAAGGAGATGCTGTGGTCTGTGAACCCACAAGGCCTAGAGATTGAGTGACACACAGGGGTCCTATTCCTGCCAAAGGCATTGCCTTCATCAGGTCCTGAGAATATGTAGATCAAACCCATGGGGAGGAAATTTTCCCAGAGGTCTTCCATAGGCCAGGCCAGGAAGAACAAAAGAGTGAGAGGAGACAAAATGACTAGCCAAGGGCAGCGAGTGCTCTGAGGTCAGGAGAGCCTCTTACAAGGAACACTAAAAGGACCAGTAAAGAAATATAGCCCAGGACTACATATTAAATAACAACCTCTGCACCATTCTCTTGCATTCTATAATTTTTACTGAGATTTTATTGCTTTTGTGTTTAGAAAGTGGATACTGAAGTATTTAGGGATGAGGAAGCAAGAGGACCCCAGCCTTCCCTAGTGTGTCAGGAACTTCACAGTAATAACACTTTGAGGAATGGTGGTGCATTCCTCTAGCCATGGCACTCAAGATGTTGAGGAAGGAGGATGGCAAGTTTGAAGACAGCCTGGGGCACGATAGCAAGATCCTGTCTCAAAAATAAGTCATTAGGGCCAGTGAGGGAGCTCAGAGGGTAAAGGGACTTGCTACCAAGACCAACAACCTGATTCAATCCCTGGGACCCACATGGCAGAAGAAAAGAACAGATGCCCCTGACCTCCTGACATGTGCCCTGGCATATGTACACATGTACAACAGCTAAATAAAAGCAATAAAATAAAAACAAGTGGACAAAAAATAAATAACTGGTCCGCAAGTGATGTGTGGTTGTGGATCCGTTTGATCGAGGAATCT